TCGACAAATTATTATTTAGAAATTATCTCATATCTCAATGAGATTAACACGGAATAACATTAGAAGAGAAAACGTTACTCTCGAACGTATTTCATGACTTTTTCAATGGTTCTCTAGTAGATTGATTATTTTATTTATTTTATTTTTTAATCATTGAATATATTATCTAAAACTTTTGTTGCGTTGTTAATATATTTCTATTCTTTTTCTTTTTCTTTTTCTTTTTTTTTCTCTCTCTCTCTCTCTCTTTCTTTTGTACAAATTTTCATCACTTTTGTTATCACTATCGCGTATATATCACACGTTGATACCATTTACTTGCACATAACTAAGGATATAGAGTTTAAGGTGTTAACGTTGTGTAAAATGATTGAAAAAAAAAGCAATATAAATGTCTCCCCATTGAATAGAATTTTTATTTTCATACAAGTTTTTCTATGCTTATATATATATATATATATGTCTGTATGTACGTGTACGTGTGGATGTATGAATGTGTGGGTATGTAAAAGGAGTGCATGGATGAATGGGTGGACTCAGTATATGTTATATCTCGATCTCTACGTGGATATCTCATCAGATCTTGAATCCTTTAATTAATATATTAAAACGCTCTTTACCGCTGGAGCCATCTTTTAGACACATAACTTACCTTCAAGATCCTCTTGAAAGTTGCTCATATCTTCTCATACATACGTACGTCCTTGGATAATCGTCGAGAATCTAGAATTACGATTTTCACGAGAACACTGAGAGAATATTAATTACGTTTAAATTGGAGAAAAGAAGAGAAAGAATGTAAAATGGATAGATAGATAGATATAGAGATTGAGATAAAGGGATAAAGAGAGAAAGAGAGAGAGAGAGAGAGAGAGAGAGAGAGAGATAGGTTATGACATAAAGTTAACCTTTCCAAGAAAATTTTCTTATGGAAAAATCTATGTGAAATCTTTCAACAAAATATTGTATATCTATATATCTAATATATCTATATGTCTATATGTCTATACACACACTCATATATATATATATATACTTACATACACACACAGACACATATATATATATATATATATATATATATATAAATAAATAGACAGAAAGTATAAAAAATCAGTGAATGAAATAAATTTGTTGATAAAAATTATTGATAGGATATATTTCGAATAAAATTTGTTATCGATTGATCAAAAATAAACAGTACGTTGATAAAAAAGATAGGAAGAAGGGTAAAACATTTAACATTAGATGTCGAGCGATGGCGGCACCAGTTTCTCTGGTGGCCTTTAGTTACGAAACGATTGGATTCGAAGGCGACAGGATTGGATGCTCCATCGGTAGGCAGGTCGTGCGTCAGACCAGTTTCATTCAATACGAACCATCGGCAACTTGGTTGAACGTCACCGACGATTTGCGACGTCACGCGTATTCAAAGTTTCGCAGTAGATAGGACAGAGAAGGACTACTCTACTACGATTTCACACGATATAGAGCAAGAAGGAAGAGGATTGACGAAGCGACGTATAGTCTCGTCGATCTATACATACATACATATATACACACACGCACATACATACATACATAGAATGCATATATATATGTATATATATATATATGTTTGTGTATAATATATATATATATATATATATATATATATATGTATATTATATCGGTCGAGTTAGAATGCTAAATTCTTTTCCATTTATTCGAGATACGTCATTTTGATGAAAGATTAGAAAAAAAAAAGTTAGTCCAGCTTTTTGTCTGATTTACTCACTGAAAGAAAATTTACGATGACGCAATTACTATCATGTCGCAATGCAGATCATGGCGGATCGTGCCGATAAAAACATTCCTCTTTTCACTATCATATTTTCTTCGCGTTAAATCGTCGTCGTCGTAGTCGCCGTCATCGTTGTCGTCGTCGCCGTCGTCGTCGTCTCTTTCCTCATTTCTTCCCCTTCCTCTTTCACTTCGTCTTCTATTCCTATTTCTACTTACTACTTATGCCACTTCTATTTCTTCTTCTACCCTCTTCTTCTACTTCTTACCAGTTCTGTAAACATTCCTTGGACGAGAAATTATAAGGAAGAAGATATCGGTAAAAAAAGAAGAAAAAGAAGAAAAAAAAGAAAAAAAAAAATGTAGTCAAGGGAGAAAGGTTCGATCGGATACGGTAATGTTGTGTTAGGAGGGTGGGACTGATACATAAAAGCATGACGCCACGCTAAAGCAACCGACGTCACCATATCGAGCAGACAGACGCTCTTCCGACGGGGGAGAGACGCGACGTAGCCGCGCGCGGCTAATACACGAGCGCAGCGCGCTCTATCGGTCGAGTTTTAAAAGGAATGTGGGCGTCCGAGACACACAAAGCGGGCGTAGCTGAGGAGGACCTAGCTATCTCGCTCGGTGTTGGCGTGCCGTAACCTACGTGCAGGGGGATTGCGCAACGATTGGCCCATTCGCCGTGTATTAAAAAATAACGATAGAAGAAGAAACGAAGAACGGATCATCGTTCCAACTTTTTTCTTTTTCTTTTTTTCTTTTTTCTTTTTTCTTTTTTTTTTCCCTTCTCCTTGGAGACGGAAACCTTCGAGGAACGTTAAACGTGCACTTTCCTTTCCTCTTATTCTACCGTTTCTTTTCCCCCTTCTTTCGTAAATCGATTAGTTCCTCTTGTCTTGCTCTCTCTCTCTCTCTCTCTCCCTCTCTCCCTCTCTCTCTCTATATATATATATATATATATCTCTATCTCTATCTCTCTGTCTCTCTATCTTTATCTCTCTCTCTCTCTCTCTCTCTCTCTCTCTCTCTCTCTCTCTCTCTCTCTCTCTCTCTCTCTCTCTTTCTCTCTATCTCGGGTTCTTCTTCTATCGATGAAAAAATGATGTAAAGGTTAGCAAGGAGAACAAAGTTTGATACGGCGTAGAGAGTCGCGTCTCTTCTTGAGAAGACGGACTGCAGACACGCAATTTCTCCCGTCGATATTATATTTTCTCCGTCTCCAATCTCTTCTCCTCCGTCGTCCGCTTCTCTTTCTCTCTCTCTCTCTCTCTCTCCTCCTTCCAACATAAATAAGACGCGTCGCTTCTCAAGAAGACACACATATTGTATACCGGCGAAAGAACATCACTGTGTATTTACGTATGTATGTATGTATGTATGGATATTTGTATGTATGTATATGTATATGTTATGTATATGCACGTACATCAAGTTACGCAAGATCTCGCCTATTTACCACTCGCCCTCGTAAAATTACCCTTTCCGATAACTTTACTTTCGGTGTTACTTGTAATGACATTTTTCCTATGACCCGACCTTTTCGATCAACCCCGCTCACCGCTTCCCCTGACCGAGCTGTAATTTCGTTTAAAAATAAATGTCGACGGGAGGAAAAGTAAAAAAAAAAAAAAAAAAAAAAAATAGAAAAAATATTTCAAATCGTAGAGTGAAGAGAAAGAGAGAGAGAGAGAGAGAAAGAAAATTTTTCAACCTACCTACCTACCTACCTACCGCTCCTCTTTTCGAGAACACCCTTGCGGTTTTTCTAATTACACTTGGCAAGTCCGTACCAAAGGATAATTCGATAAGCCCAGAACCGACAGTCCTTTTTCCTTTTTTATTTTTCCTATTTCTTTTTTTTTTCCTTTTCTTTTCTTTCTTTTTTTTTTCCCCCTTCAAATCTCTCACGAATAGAAAAATACGAGTTTCCGCCTTTTCGAAGCGCATCCGTCGCCACCTATCGGCTTAGAATTTAATTAAGAGCCCCGTGTGACTCGCATCATTTCTAACAGACATACCAGATAGTGGCTCAAGGTACATACAGGCATGTGCTTAAAGGTATACCGTGTCCTATATACCACCGACGAAATGTCAAAGAGGTGGAATAACGCGTCTGTATCTCTTTCCCTCTCTTCGCATGGTAAATCCATACGAATACGTGTAGCTTATGTGCAATTCGCATAGCACGTATAATACTTGTAGCTCGTCGAGGATGGACGATCATATAAAATACGATTCTTTTATATTTAATTACAAAGTAATAGAAATCGTCATACCGAATCAGATTTCAATCGTAGGAGTTTATAAATGTCATTTCGATGCTTTAGAAATTATAGATAGAAAAGAATCATGTAGACTTACGTTAAAGAGAGATAAAAAAGAAGTAAGAGAGAGAGAGAGAGAGAGAGAGAGAGAGAGAGAGAAAGAGAGAAAGAGGAGTGAGGGAGAAAGAGGTGGGAGAGAGAGAGAGAGAGAGAGGGAGAAGGGTGAGAGAAAATGATCTCCAAGGACATTTAGGCGTTTCTTTATTAATTAAAAAAAAAAAAAAAAAAAAAAAATGAAAAAAAAAGAAAGAAGGTGATAGACGAGGGTAATAGTGATAGCAGCAGGTAGTGATATCGTGTTGGTTTAGTACTGCCTAATTATATAAAGGTTATTTTAACACGCGGAAGTCATTATATGGGCGATTTATTGATCCCATCTGGGCCGAAAGTGCCGGTTAAGGTTTTCGCCTCTCTTTTTATACATTAAAGATACATATGTTTGTTATCGATCGGCGTAGAGCACGCCGTTGTCGTCAAAACATTCGAACTTTCGATTCGACATGCGGCGTTTGAAATAGTAGCCCCCCGCCCGATAACCACGCCCAACAACCTGTGAATCGCGAAAGGATATATACGTACGGAGGACAGGAGACCGGCGCAGCGACCGTTGAAAAAGCTCCTACTCTCCCTCCGAGCGTAACTTGAAAGAGGGTATCGAGGAAGAAGATAACTGAAGAGGGAAGAAAAGAGGGAAAGAAGTGGAAGAAAAAGGAAAACGTAAAAAAACGGATCTTGGTGATGAAGTAGAAAGAGAGAGAGAGAGAGAGAGAGAGAGAGAAGAGGGAGGAAGAGAGAGAAAGAGAGAGAGATAGAGAGAGAGAGGGAAAAAGAAAAATGAAGAAGAAGAAAAGGTTGGTGGACGATGATCCTAATACGCAGGTAGTGTTAAGTTTTATAAATGTAACTTTCGGATCTTTAGTTAAGTAGCCGCTAGAAGACACACTGGACTGGTAGTGGTGACTGTAAGGATGATGGTGGTGGTAGTAATGTTAGTGTGACAGTTGTAGTAGTAGTATACCGTCGGTGCTAGTAGTGGTGGCAAAAGTGCAGGGTGGAGATCACGTACGAACGGAGGAGAAAGGATCGTTTGAGAAACGGCGAGAAAAGGGTGGGAGAAAGTACGACGAGTAGGGGGATGCGCGCCGTATTAAAATGCTGACTCTTACCGCGCAGCGTGGGAGTTAGTTCTGGTGATGGCGCCAGCCAGCTCACTCGCTCAACTAACCCACCATCCCGACCCTCCGATCCTCCATCTCCCGACCACCGGCAGACGACGAAGCAACCTCCACGCTCGCAACCTCCTCTCGCTGATTCTACCGATCCGAAGCAGCAGCAGCAGCAGCAGCAGCAGGAACAGCAACAGCAGCAGCAGCAATAGCAGCAGCGAACCAGCACCGAGTCCGGCACATTCTACGACGTGCAGTATCAAAAGAAATAGCAACGGTAGAAGAAGGAAGAGAAGCAACAAGAGCGAGAGCAGTTAGCCGTGGGCAGAGTCAGTTAAAGGGAGAAAAAGATAGAAACACCGACGGCAACGGTGGTAACAGCAGGGAAAAGCGCAGATAGCCGAGCTATGAGAGATTAATCATTTTGCTTCCGGTTCCCCGGAAAACAGCTACACTCCTCTCAACTGAGAAAAGAAAACTCTAGAAAAAAGGGAGTGAGAGAGAAAGAAAGAGAGAAAGAGAAAGAGAGAGAGAGAGAGAGAGAGAGAGAGAGAGAGAGAGTGAGAAGGAGGAGGCAAGAAAAGGACTATGGTGTCGTAACACGCGCGCCTCTGCACGAACGGACGCACGCACCGCGAAAGATCACGTCACCGAGCAGCCCTCGCCGCTACATCCCCACCCTCGATCAACCCCTATCGCCAGCACCACCACCGTCACCGTCACCGTCGCTGTCGTCGTCGCCGTCGCCGTCGTCGTCACCACCACCACCACAGCTGCCGCCGCCGCCGCCGCCGCCGCCACCACCACCGCCGACGCTGCCAAGATCAACCGCAAGAACGCCTTACAACGGATGGATCGTCATTGCGGCTGAAACCCCTTGCCGCCGGTAGAGACTCCGAGCACTCCGTATGAAGGCGGTACGCGTACGACCACCCACGCACGAAACATCCCCGAAGACGTTAACGTCCGTGCCACCCTTCTTATTCTTCTTCTGTTTCTTCTCCTTCTTCTACTTCTACCACTACTTTACACCATTCGCTGGCTCCTTTACTACCGCACAACAACGGGACTCTCCTCTCGCTACTCTCGTGGTGATGGTGTAATGAATCTTCTGGCAGTCAGCACCGGAAGAATCAACGCCAATAATAACACAACCGGCTATTCGATATTAGCTAACCATACGGAGAAAAACGGTGCTGCTGCATGGTCATGAGTAACAATTTGGTGAACGATAAAAAAGCCTATCTGAGTTTTGTGCTCTTGTGCGGCTAAATTTACTATTTAATGTGCGCGGTCTTTAATCATTCGCTTATATATTTACAATATAAATATATAATTATACGCACGAGTTTGATCTTATTTCACGCGTTACAAACGTTCAAAGTAAAATATCAATCAATCTGCGATAACGACTAATCCTTTCTCTCTCTCTCTCTCTCTCTCTTTCTTTCTCTCTCTCTCTCTTTTTCATCCCTTGTGATTCGACACCATCGAAGATATACTACAATTGCATTGAAAAGCGTCGAATTGAAATCGATTCTCGTATTCGAGACCCCATCATCATCATCATCAATCCCCCGACCCTCAACCCTCTCTATCTCTCTCTCTCTCTCTCGCACTTTCACCTGAACCCTTTTGTCCCTGGCCACTTCGGCCACCGGTGAATCCGAGTTACGCCGACGGTGTGTGTACGTGAAGGGGTGAAAGAGAAAAGCGGCTGAAGTAGTAAGAGAAAGCAAACGCTAGACTATCTAGGAAAAGGAAAAAGAGGAGGAGGAGGAGGAGGAGGAAGAAGAGGAGGAGGAGAGCAGGGAGAAGAAAAAATCACTAGAGCTCTTCGAGAGGTATACGGGAAGACCAGAGAGACAGATAGAGAGAGAGAGAGAGAGAGAGAGACAGAGAGAGAGAGAGAGAGATAAAAAGAAGAGGAAGAACAGAGGAAAAGTGAGAAGAGAGAGAGAGAGAGAGAGAAAGGGAAAAAAAGAGAAAGAGAGAGTGAGACAGACAGAAAGAAAGAGAAAGAGAGAGAGAGAGAGAGAGAGAAAGGGAAAAAAAGAGAAAGAGAGAGTGAGACAGACAGAAAGAAAGAGAAAGAGAGAGAGAGAGAGAGAGTACTCTTGATCATCACATCAGGGTAGAAGAAGGACCGGTAAAATTTTCCGCGTACTCAACGTCGCAGAGAAGCAAGTATCTTCACGTACAACCCATCAAAAAATAATAATAATAATAATAATAATAATAATAATAATAATAATAATAAAAATAAAAATATAATAAAAAATAAAACAATAGAAAGTTACCAAAAAAAAAAAAAAAAAAAATACAAAAAGAAAAAAAAAGAAAAAAAAATTAACATGTCACCAGCACCCAGCACCGTGCACAAGCCTCTCCTATCAAAATCTTCGCACGCAAAATTGCACTCTCGCCGCATTTTTTCTCGAGTTTACGCGTATAGGACGAAACAAAGAGAAAAAGGGAAAAAAGAGAAAGAGAAAGGAAAAAGCGATATGATAAAGAATTTTCAACGAGTTCTTAATCGCGATCATCTGTCCTTCTTAGTTCGAAAAGTCCGTTTTTGTATATTTTTCGGGACACCTGTTGATATCTCTCGCCATGCTATATTAAGTATCACTTACCTTACTGAAATATAATGTCGTTTGTCAAATACGATATTATTACTCTAATCCATTGTAACTGGACGATATTTATCGGAACTATTGTTTAAAAGTAACATTACGAAAGCGTAAACGCCCATCGAGTCGTCTCGACGTTATACGTGGCCGCCACAAGGGGATGGCCTCGTAGTCGAGAGAAAGAAAGAGAGAGAGAGAGAGAGAGAGAGAGAGAGAGAGAGAGAGAGAGAGAGAGAGAAAGATGAAAGTGGGAAAGAGGGAGAGTTAAAGAGAGAAAAAGAGAGAGAAAGAAAGAGAGAGAGATAGTGTTTAGCCGGTATATCCGCGATACAAGGTCGTCCTTTTTACGAGAGACGTCCTCTTCTCCCTCTTCTTTCCTCTTGTTCGCGCATCAAAATTTTATTATCCCCATCGAGATACGTGCCTGTTGATATCGCGATATTCGTACGTGCGAGAAAGAGAGAAATAAAAAGAGAGAAAGAGAGAAAAAGAGAAAGAAAAGAGAAAGAGAGAGAGAGAGAGAGAGAGAGAGACTCGATCGTTAACGTTATAAAGTGCTCTTATAGTCGGTAAATGTAACGGGATAACGCGTTGTAATATAGACAGGAGCTTTAGCACGTAAGCGCACCTTCTCTATTTTATTTTGTTATTGTTGTTATTGTTGTTATTGTTGTTATTGTTGTTTATCTTTCTTTCTTTCTTCCTTCCTTAATTTAATTTTATTTCTTTTCTTTTCTTTTCTTTTCTTTCCTTTTCTTTTTTTTTTCTCTTTTGTTTCTTTATTGCCCTATCGTTTCTTTTATCCCACTCTATTTCTTTGTCTTCTTCTTCTTCTTCTTCTTCTTCTTCTTCTTCTTCTTCGTCGTCGTCGTCGTCGTCGTCGCCGTCGTCGTCGTCGTCGTCGCCGTCGTCGTCGTCGTCGTCGCCGTCGTCGTCGTCGTCGTCGTCGTCGTCGTCGTCATCCTCTACTGCACCAGTAATAAAACGTTCAAGCAGAAAAACCCAGATGCACCACACGTACACTCACGCACGTATGTACCTTACGCACGTTAACAGCACAGTCCAATCACGTTAGACGAAGCTCTAGTTTTGTTCATCGTTGTTGCATAAAGCCGACGTTTTTCCACGTTCCCCGTGATCGTAATAAAAGGGAAAAACGTTGAAAAGATAAAGAAACAAAAAGAAAGAACGAGAGAGAGAGAGAGAGAGAGAGAGAGAGAGAAAGGAAGGAAGAAAAAAGAAGGAAGAAAGATAAATAGAAAGAAAAGGAATACACTGCTCGTCATTAAGAAATAAAGAAAACTAGAGGTGACGATATATAAACGTACGAAAGAGATTCAAAAGAGAGGAAATAAAAAAAGAAAAAAAGAAAAAAAATATATATATATATATATATATAATATATATATAATATATATATACATGTATACATATAATAATATACGTATAATAATAATGACAAGAGAGTGAAATAAAATGAGACGGGAGGAAAGAAAAAAGAAACGAAAGAAGAAAAAAAGAAAACAGAAGAAGAAATAAGAGACGAGAAATATTTTAACGAGAGATTTCATTTTGGCCGAAACGATCACGGATGGCACGTAATAGAAATAAAATTTCCGTCGATTGTCAGCAATACAGCACCGTTCTCAATTTCACTGTCTTTTTGTCTTTGCACCAATTCCCCCGTGCATCCACTTCACGCACGACGAACTGCACTTGCATCATCAAATCTCCACCATTCTCGGCACTTTGATGTGTTCACGTATGAAAAAGAAACAAAAACAAAAACGAAACAAAAAAAAAAAATAATAATAATAATAATAATAATAAAAAAGAAAAAAGAAAAAAAAAATAGAAAAAAAATAAAAACCAAATACTAACGAAATACGAATGAAAAAAAAAAAAAAAAAAATAATAATAATAATAATAATAATAATAAAAACAAAATTGACCCTTCTTCTTTATTATCAATTAACGACCTGATTTCAGGAGGAAGCCGCTGAATCGCGAAGACGGGGAAAAAAACGTGCTCGACTCTACCCTCCCTCCAAACTACCTGTACTACATACACGTGCCTATTCGATTTAGAGGACTTTAAAGGTAGTAACGATTACGAACGAGGCGAAAGAACAGAGAGAAAGAGAACGATACACCGGTAATTGAAATCGTCCGTCTAGAGTCTATAGTAAAAGGCCATAGGGAAAGGGGACTATATAGCGAGAGAGATAGAAATAGAAAGAGAAAGAGAGAGAAAGAGAGAGAAAGAAAAAGAGAGAGAGAGAGAAAGAAAGAGAGAAAAAGAGAGAGAGAGAGAGAGAGAGAGAAACACACCAACGAGAAACAATAGTGAAAGTGAGAGATAAAAGAACGACACGACATATTGAAGTTTGTTACAAATATCAAGATTCTTCGTTATCCAAATCTCGTTGATCTACCACCGTTCATCGGTCTTTCGCTATCTCTTTCTCTTTCTCTCACATAAAAGGATCCTTCGTATCTTTTCTCGCTGGATTCTTAAAATAGTAGAATCCATATCCCTCGGTGTGTATATTTGACTGAAAGGAAAAGTCGGCCTAATCCACGTTCGGTACACCGATTTCCTCTTGTAGATCGGAAAAAAGGGAGAGTAAAGAGAGAAACTGAGAAAAAAAATATATATATATATATAGAGAGAGAGAGAGAGAGAGTGAGAAAGAAATAGAGAAAAAAAGATAGAGAGAAAAAGAAAGAGAAGGGTTCGTTTTTTATCAGGAACGTGGGCCACATCAGAAAGGATACGGATTCGTATATCCTTATATAAAACGCTCGTAAAAGAGCAACCAATAGGGAGGAAAGGAATCGGCCATCATCGAGTCACGTAAGATGACGATCTGCATAGTCTGGCTACTAGCATACGTTGGACAAGTTCTTGAATTAGAAAATCGTCCGATGAGCGTCGCTCACGGAAGACACAGACAGGATTGTCATCACGAGGTAAGCATCAGGAAATTCCAAAACGGACAAAGCTCGATAGATGGCAACCTGTTGCACCTAAAGACGCATCCTTACGAAGGATCGCATCGTGATGACCTGTCCGAATGGTTGGTATATACCGAGAAACGGCCGATTTACTCGTGGACAACGAGAAACATGATGGTCGATGGGATTATAAAGGAACCTAAGGATCTTAATACGAACTTGTTGGCTTTATCGCCCGGTCTATCGAACGTCCTTTATCCGGAATACGTGTCCGTGACGTCTCCGTACGTTTCGGTTAGTTCGATGTCGCGAACAACGACGGAACCTCTTGTCGATGATGCCCTTCTTGCTCAGCATCAGCATCGCTTTCAACGTCAACATAAACAACAACAACAACAACAACAACGTCAGCATCATCACCAACAACAACAACAACAACAACAACGGCAGCAACAGCAGCGACGTCAGTTGCATCAACGAAACAAAAAGAGACGTATAATCGATTACAGCAACAATAAGCAAGCCGAGAACCAAGCGGTCGAGTTACCAATTTTGATCTATTACAACGGCGAGAAGATCCTTCCAGACAGAAGACAATCTGATCAAGAGAATGTCTACGAGCAGAGACTGAATTCGCCGATGAAATTGAAGACTGAACCGATCTACGAGCGTTTCTCCAAGCCTTTTTTGTCTTCTATCTTCTCATCCTCACTCCCATCTTCTTCTTCTTCTTCTTCTTCTTCTTCTGCTTCTTCTTCTTCTTCTTCTTCATCTTTTTCTTCTGCTTCTACTTTATCCTCTTCGCGAGAATTTTTCAACGATGAAGAACTCACACCTTCTAAGCCTTTTATATACGAGATTAATGATCCTTCCGAAAAAAGGAATCAGATAATCATACGACGACGATCGGTCAATTTACCAGGGGAATCTTCTGTCTCTCGCCAAACCCTGATGCCGCCTACATCCTCCTTTACTTCCGAAAGATCAAGCCTAGCCTCGCATTTTATAAGGACTACCAGGGGGAGCAGACATTACGACGTGCCGCAAATCGGTGAGCAGTCTTCTTTTTATTATTTTCTTCTTCTTCTTCTTCTTCTTTTTTTTTCTTTTTTTTAAAGATTTATATAAAAGCCTCTTTTCTCTTTCACGAGTTGTCCTTTGAGCCCTACCACATTTCCTCTTATCACCCTCCAAACGAATATCACCGATCCATTTTCATTTGAAGTATTCTCGCTCTTTTTCTTAACCATATCTTTTCCTCTCTCTCTCTCTCTCTCTCTCTCTCTCTCACTCTCTCTCTCTCTCTCACTCTCTCTTTTAATTCTCAATATTATCTTACAAGATCATAGTAAATGGAGAAAAAAAAATTAAATAACTGACGGACAAAAAGACGATGAGAAACGTGTAAATTAAACTGGAATTAAAATTATCTTTTGGTGTCGTCCTTTTTCAACGCTAATACCTACAGTAAATATGTCTGAATTAATGAACGGTAGCATGCCACGGTCGCCTAACTCAACGGGTAGAAAAACTTAGATATTACGACATAAATTATAGTCTCATGATGTTAATAAAACTTATACTTAGAATGATACCGTGCAAAGAGAGATAGATAGATAGATAGATAGAGATAGAGAGAGAGAGAGAGATAGGGAAAGTGAGAGAGAGAAAGAGAGAGAGAAATAAAAGCAACGAGTTGAATCAACCCTTAAAAAGTTACCCTAATTGGTCAAAAAGTAAGATTCAATGATAATAATGAAGAGATATATCTGAACCGTTTATATATATATATATATACACATATATACGTACATATATCTGTATGTGTTTTACTTGTATAACATACCTACATACATAAATATAATCTTTCTCAATTTCATATTCAACTCTATGTTACGTATTAATTATTAACCAACGTAGATACATGTTTTGCCGCAGGGCAATGTTAACATTTATTAACGCATTTAGCCTTGAATGAACCTTTTATAAATTGTGCGGGTTGTTCCTGTCAATAAGAAAGAAAAAAAAATAAATAAAGAAAGAAAAAGAAAATAAATATGATTGCTAATAAAGTCTAGGGAATTTCTAGGGAATATATATACATATATACATAAACGTGGGAGTTATTTCGATCAACATAAAAAGAAAAAGAAAGAAAAAAAAAGAGAAAAGGAAGAAGAATAAAATTGCTAATAGGATTTACGAAATTTCTAGGGAATATACGTGCATAGATATATATGTACATATATATCAAAGGAAAATCCTTCTTGAAACATTTATTTACCTTTTAGGCATGGACGTATCTTCTTCTAAGCAAGTATATACACGTGTCTATACATGCGTGTCCCTCTCTTTCTTCTCTCTCTCTCTCTCTCTCTCTCTCTCTCTCTCTCTCTCTCTCTCTCTCTCTCTGTTTATTTGTGTGTATATGTGTGCATGCGTACGTATACTCACATATTCCATCAAACTCGATACATCGAGCTTAGTTTCTTAAATGAGAGTATATAGTACATTCTCCTAGAGTAGATGATCTCATTGTAAAGACCACCCGTGCCGTTTTCAATCTAGAAAGAGAAGGAGAAAGAGAGAGAGAGAGAGAGAGAGAGAGAGAGAGAGAGAGAGAGAGAGAAAGAAATAGATAGATAAAGAAAGAGAAAGGTCAAAGTTGCGTAGAGCGGGTTAATGCTGTAACCCCAACAGCATATTGCAGCCGGCGTGATTGGATTATGCGAAATGCGATTAGCCGTAGTTTGATAGTCTAGCAACGGACAACCAGCGATCTTCTATTTACCGTCGCAGAAGATTCCGTTTTACTTTGCATAATCGAGCGGCAAGTATCTCGGGGAAAAAAACAATGTGATAAGGAAATCTCAAAGGCCACGGTCTAAGGAAAAATTTATAAACGGAAAGGAGAAAGAGATAGAAAGAGAGAAAGAAGCATGGAAATATTATATTATCAACAAGAAAAATATATTAACCGTTGGCAGACTTTCGATGAACGTGGTCCATTCTTTTCTTTTTTCTTTAAAAAAAAAAAAAAGAAAAAGAAAAAAGAAAGAACGAAAGAAAGAAAGAGAAAAAAGAAAAAAGAAGTGAAAAAAAGGAATGAAAGAGAGAAAACGAGAGAACTATAATACTATAAAAGTGCATTTAGTCTTTTCTGATCTTCCTGACCGGACTGTTTCTTTCGTTTTATTTTACTCTTGATTTACTTTTTCTCTTTCTGTCTGTCTCTCTCTCTCTCTCTCTCTCTCTCTCTCTCTCTCTCTTCTTTTCTCTCGTTAGATTTTGAAAAAAAAGTTAACAAATCCCATTGATAACGATTTATTAGGCTAACATAGATATTTGAAACGAGAAACAAGCTGATACGGTATACTGTCCGTGTTAATGTTACAGAATGTCCAGCCTCGGAGGAAGGGATGGAGAGGTTTGCATGTCCAACGCCGGACAGAATGGGTAGATATCGTTGCATCGACGACCATGTTCTATGCGACGGCTTTACGGACTGTCCGCAGGGCGAAGATGAAAATATGCTGCACTGCATGTTTTTCAAAACTGTGAGTCCACTTTAATTAAATTTAAAACGTTGGATACCCATGGATATCCACATATTTATGTACATAGGTAAATACATACATATATACTATGTATATATCAGTTGGAATCGATATTCGTGAAAAGGTCCGAATTCATTGTTACGCTTTTCTATGGTGAAACAGCTGACTTCTCTTTTCTCATGTCAGGGGTTGATTTTGAATGGGAGAAGAAAACGTGGGTAGTGGTCGGGAAGACGGGGTGACGTTAGGGGTTTGGTTAGAAGTGAACGTAAAAGGGGGAAAAAATAAATATAATACAAGATCGCTAATAGAAAAGTGTTAAAAACTCGCTGCGTGTTTGTTCTAATTCGTCGCGTGTCCATCTAGACACAGTGACGATAGCTATAAGGGTTTAAATAAAGCTATAGTATCTCAACGATATGAGCATTTCGCACTCTTCCGAGAAACGTGCGACATTTTTAATGCCAACGCATCACGCGAGCCATACCGCGAACTAGAAAAGGGTTCGCACGTTAACGTGGAAATGTACGTGCTAATGAGCGATGAAATAGAAATAGAGAGAGAGAGAGAGAGGGAGAGAGAGAGAGAGAGAAGGGAAAAGGAAAATATTAAAGGATACCTCCGTCTACTTCAAATATCCCTTCTTATTTATATTTTTTTTTCATTTTCTTTTCTCCTTCTTCTTCTTTCTTTAAGAAATATTCAACATAAAATACATATTTTCGCGATGAAAGGCCAGTTTTATATTTGCGATAAACAAATAAACGGAGCAACGAAAGCGAATTTATTGTCGATAAAGAAAAAAAAAAAAAAAAAAAAAGAAGAAGAAGAAATAAAAAGGAAAGTATAGCGGGTATTTAATAAATACCAATGTTTTCTTTTTTTCTTCTTTTTTTTTTTTTTTTTTTTTTTTTTGTTTCGCCTCTTTTTCGTTATGACAATGGACATTTTTTGTAAGGGGAAAGTAACATGGACAGAAACGTATAAATACATACGCATATACATACGTATCTACTTATGTATATAATATCTCTCTCTCTCTCTCTCTCTCTCTCTCTCTGTCTCTCTCTCTCTCTCTCTGTTTCTCGTGATATTGGTTTACCTTTGGCTGTCGTGGTAAATAAATTAAACGTTAAATCACCGGAGGCACCATCCGTCCATCCACCTTTCCCCTATAATCGAAGACAAAGCCCGACGGATTCCATAAAAGTACCTACATTTTTTATCGGACGAAAGCCACGTTATCGAGTGGCTCGAACGATCGTAACAGTAGCTGCTATGGGTGTACCACTAAATGACCGATGATTGGGGTTACGTGGAATATTTCTTTATTTCTTAGTTTAACGCGTACAAAATAATTATTACTTAGGTTAATTATTAATAGGCATCGAATCAATTTTGAAAAAATATAATAAAAAAAAAAAAAAGAAAGAACAAAAATGCAAAAGAAGAAAATGGAAGAAAGAAAATTTATCGTCGTTCGCATAATTAAATTGTAACGTAAATTGTTATCGATACGGGAATATTACATTGAAATAAACGAAAAGATTTATTTATAAAGGTTGGGCCAAAAGTTCTTCTGAGTGATTTTGAAATAATCAATTAATCTTTCTTACAAACTTCTCAGGTTAATTATCTTTGCAGATTTTTTGGCAGATTATTTCTTTTCTCTTTTTTTTCTTTTTTTTTTTTTCTTTCCTTCCTTTCTTCATCTCCTTCTTCCTGTTCTGCAGAACAAAAAGGAATTAGCGTAAGAAGTCTCTAAGGAAGGGAGTAATTGATTTTTTAAACCACCTATAGATCTTATTACCGGGTCCCCCTATTAATGTTCCAAAGAATCCAGGCAGTTACGCGCCCGAGAAAAAATACAATATAATAATAATAATAATAGAATTAATAATATTAATAATAATAACAATAATAATGACAATGAAGAGTGTTTTAACGTTTTAAAAGATAACAACCAGGATAAAATATTTTATCTGCCCGAGTAAATATAAATGCATTAAAAAAAAATCGTTCTATGAAATATGAACGTCAAAACGTGCGTATATATATATATATGTATATATATATAAATATATGTGTGGAATATTAACAAAAAAAAAAAAAAAAGAAAAACAGAAGAGATAAAAATAAAAAATAAAAATGAAAAAAACAAAAAAAAAGCAAAAAAGAAAAACAATATTGATATATTATTTATGTCGTACACATAGATACGTGTAGATTTGTCGACTCTCTAACGACGTCATGTAAACAGAGTCTCATTAAGAGTTATTAAATTACTTAAACGAAGGATGGAGGAAACGCGAAGAGGTTAGGAAAACATAGACGATCGAGTAACAAAACTGTATATGTGTGTGTGTGAGAGAGAGAGAGAGAGAGAGACAGAAGGGAAGAGAAAGAGGGTGGGATACATCATCTTCATGGATATTTTCTATGATCGGCATGTATGTATGTATGGCAATTTGAAAATTGTGTTTGCTAAAGAAAGTTTTCTCATTAACGTGAACGTGTAACACAAAGAAGTTTTCTCTGGATTGATTCGAAATCGTTAATGCTTTGTATAACACGTTGCAAAGACAAGCGAAAAAACTTGTCAGGAAATTGAAAATTTTTAAGAGGGAGAATAAGAGTAAAGGAGTAAGAGGAGAAGGGGAAAAAAGAAAAAGAAATATAAAAGGGATGAAAAAGAAGGAATGAAAAGAAATGGAAAAACTTGGCTTAGAAGGAGAACGCATTTATTCGAGGAAACAATTTATGACAAAATTTAACTTTCGTATACATAAGTGTTAAGAAATATTTAAACTTTAGAAAGACGTTAGACGTTTTAACCTACGAATGAATTTGATTCTGGTGTTATAACTGTTAAGAGGTAAGTAGAGAAATACTATTTAAGCTATATATGGTAGCAACAAGTGTTGGGTATACAACTTTAAAATGTTTATTCAGATTGCTCGGTAAAATGGCCACGCCTAAAACTTCCTATTTACGAGTCTAAAGCTAGGAAAGCAACTATACTTACGTAGATACTTATATCGAAATAAAGTCTTCTGTGTATTAATGGTGACGTAAACAATGACGACGACGACGACGACGACGACGACGACGAAGACGACGACGACGACGAAGACGAAAATGACGACGATGACGTCAAGCAAATAATTACGATCAAAATTTCATTTTCCTTAAAGAATAAGGATCGTTTCAGGAAGGAAAAGTTTAACACTTTTCAGAGTAATCGCATGCTTATACAAAAAGAAGAAAGTGTGTGTGTATGTGTGGGAGTGTGTAAGAGAGAGAGAGAGAGAGAGTTAAAATGTCATGAAAATTCAGTACTCGCAAAGTACTATCAGATATACTGTGAACGTGGGACAGAAGGAAAGATTAGGACATTTAAAATTTATCGTACAGCATGGCTTTATGACATCGATAACCATAAGCTGGCATCGCTGGCGAGGAACACACGGGAAGAAGGAGGTCGTAACCAGAAAGACAGTATGGTTCATTGCGAAAGTATCGTTGAATTAATTATATCGTAGAAACACTGAGAGAGAAAAAGAGATAGATAGATAGAGAAAATGAGAGAGAAAAAGAGAGAGAGAGAGAGAAATAAATACAGAAGGGACAGTCATACAAAGAGACAGACAGACAGACAAACAGAGAGAATACAGAAAAAGGTCAGAAAAAGGTTGATGGTACCTTATATGTACATATATATTTATGTATTGTATATATCTGATACAGATATATTAATTGCTTTCTCTTTTTTGTCTTTCTCTTCTTTTTTCTTTTTTTCTTTCTTCATCTTTAAAAAATAATATCAAAGAAATAATATCAAGGAAAATATCATATTATATATTTAATAGGAACATTATTATTTCATAAAGGTAGTTTACACACATACAACCACTGCGCCATAGCTTATAAATATATATATATATATTTTTATAAGCTATATATATATATATACATAGATCTCGTCTCATTGGACAATGTAATGCAAAACCAACCTTGTCCATTTCACTTTTCTTATTCTTCGTTTTCTTCCTCTTATAAATATTTTGTCATAATTTTTATTAGAAAATATAAACTAACCCGGCGCTCCCGTAAAATATATTCCTACCTACACGCGCGTTTATCGTAATACATTTACGTACTTTGTGTGTATGTAATCCGACTTGACGATAACGTTTCAAAAAGAAAAAAGAAAAAAGGAAAAAAGAAAAAAGAAGAAGAAGAAAGACAAAAAAAGGAAAAGAAAAAAAGTAATTAAAATGGCAGTAAAAGGGGGAAAGAGAGAGAGAAAAAGAAAGATAAAAGAAAACAGGAAGGAAAGTATTGACACCCTCGAAGTACTCTTCCTTTACTCTTAAAGTTTTTTCTTTATCTATCCGTCTATCTATCTCTCTTTCACTCTCTGTTCCTTTCTTCGTGAACTTAAAAAGATATGGTAATTTCATGCAAGGAATACGAGTAACTTAAACCCAAGCCGGAATATTCAACGAATTAGCCGATCCCGTCCATTTTCCAAAGTGAGATTCCGTCGGACTGCACGTCTGTTCCGTTTGGCATAGTTAATAATATTGATTCGTCTTGAAATAATAAAGGTATTATCGCGTAAGAAAATTATCTTAAGAAAATGAAAACTTTCTCAAATCGGTTTTGAAAAGTGATATATTTATATACGTATATACATCTATATATATATATATATATATATATATATATATATATATATATGTATGTATAAATACGTGCATATATGAATGAAAAGAAGAGAGAGACGTTCTCCCCTAGTCTCAGACGCTATTAATATGACGCTCTATAAAATATGTTCAGAAAAAAAAAAGAAAAAAAAAAGAAAAAGAAATAAAAGAAATAAAGATACAAAAGAAAAAGAAAAAGAAATAGAAAATACTAATAATAATAAAATAATCATTCATCATAAAAACGATAAGAAATATATATATATATATATTGTATAATATCTCTCTGTCTTATGTAATCGATTCTATAGATATCAACAAAAAATCGTTCAATCAATATATAATATATTATACATCTTTATAAATATGTATATACATAGGTATTTTTTTCTTTCTTTCTTTCTCTCTCTCTCTCTCTCTCTCTCTCTCTCTCTCTCTATCTATCTATCTATCTATCTATCTATCTATCTCTCTTTCTCTTTTTCTCTCTCTCTCTCTTATTTATAGAGCCTTTACGAAGTATTGAATTTATCTCGATTCACTGAGGAAAAATGACGAGCCATCTCCACTATCTTCCATTAAAATCTCTCTATTTTCTTTCTCTCTTTTTCCCTCTAGACATTTCAAGGGGGAACCTCTTTACTCACAACTCAAACATTATAGTCAGCAAACTCCAGAACGTATCTGCCATCAATATATTGAAGAGAAGCAAAAGAGTGAAAGAGAAAAAGAGAGATAAAGAGAGAAAGAAAGAGAGAGAGAGAGAGAGAGAGAGAGAAAGAGAGAAAGAGAAAGAGAAAAAGATACAAAGTCCTCGATTCTTTTATTCCTAATTCCAAATTATCATTAACTCATGGTTATTTTTTCCTTCGAAACTTCTCTCTTTCTTTCTCTCTCTCTCTCTCTCTCATCTCGTTCAATTTCGTACGTAATGCAGAAACTAAGCGAATATAGTATAATATATACGTACGCGTTGGCGATGTTATAAAAGGAAGTAACTATAGCGAGATAAGGATAGGTATGAGAGAAGGACAAAATGAAAGAAAGAGAGAGAGAGAGAGAGAGAGAGAGAGAGAAAGAGAAACAGAGAGAGAAGCAAGCACGTAGAACAGAAAATTCGGAGCACGGACGTTTTAACGGTAACTCCGTTGTTGATGAGCTCGTAGAAGGGTGCTACGTGGGGGCTGTTACGACCGCTTTCGCGGAAAAACTTTTGCGAGGGTTCTGTTTCTATTTTATAGGACGCTTTAAAAAATGTCTATATATGTATACATATATATGCATACATACACACACACTTACTCCTTCTCTCTCTCTGTCTCTCTCTTTCTCTCCTTCTATTTTTCTTTATATCCGTTTAGACGGAGGAAACGTTAATCCCACGAAAAAAGTTAGATGAGAAAGACGATCGAAAGGAGTCATTTTTTTTCCTCCTTCATCTTCTTGATAAGATCTATGTCGATCGACATAATTAACGAGATGAAGAAGGTCTGATAACACACACACACACACATATGTATATATATATATATATGTATACAACATGTGCATACATGTATATACATGTCGATGAAGTTAGATCCAAATTAGAAGGAAAAGCAAATCGGTGCACGTGGAATATCAACACATAGAAATCAATGGATACAAGGGAGTGTTCGAAACGTGGGCGTACTACCGTTGAAACGATCTTGCACAAAGTTTCGCCAGTACCATTCGCGCCGTCGTCATCCAATCCATGGTATAATGGGAGGGGTAGGGGGCAGTGGTAAGGGGCAGAGTAGTTGGGGTAAGAGATGGTAGAGATGATGGAAAGCGGAGGAGGAGAAAACTTGCTGCTTTAACCTTATGACATTCTCCAATTTTCTCTCTTTCTTATTCTCTTTTTCTCTCTCTCTCTCTCTCTCTCTCTCTCTCTCACTCTTTCTCTCTCTTTCTATTCTCATGGGCAAAACAAGTATGGGGAATAACCGAGATGGGTGTTGGCCATTGGCGTTATTGCTATATTTTTTTTTTTTTTTTTTCTTATATATTTATTTTCGCCATTACTCACGCGGCCCCCTTTACCTTTACTTTCGATTTACCAAGGTACACGAATTTTCAACAAAATTCCCATCGTATAATGTAATAATATTCTTTTCTTTTATCTCACATCCTTCTTACGTCATTCGGATGGAAGGAGAGAGAGAAAAAAAGAAAGAGAGAGAGAGAGAGAGGGAAAGAGAGGGCGAAGGTTTCCTTTCCTTGATCGATAATCCGCATAACGTAAGGCAAACCTTGCTTTTCGACTTTCATGAAAACGGAAATTCTGAAGGAGTTTACCAAGATAGAACGTCGAGATATTTCGACGAGTGCGTTGGACCGTTATCATCGTAGATATCTCTTGGCTTATAGAAAGACGTATCGCGATCACGTTTGGATGGATACTAAATAACGTATGCAAAGTACAGGGTAAATCGAAAATCCCTAGGATTGTTGTTTTACGATGTTATAATAATAATAATAAAATAATAATAATAATAATAATAATAATAATAAAGAGGGAAAGAAAAGGAAAGGAAAGATAAGAAAAGAAGAGGAAAAAAAGTAACAACCAAAAAATCTGAAAAAAGAATTAATTGATTTTTAATATCGCCAAGAAACGTTTGACCCCTAACGACCGTAGGCGTGTGTACATATTGAAGGATTCATTCCCCATGATCATGATCGATCTCGATTAATTTCGTTAAAATTAATTATCTTTATTAACCAAAGCTTCCATTTCCTTTAGAAGTTGATAGAAAAAAAGAAAAGGAAAACAAAAGGAAACAAGAGAAAAAAGAAAAAAAAAGATCATGACGTCACGCAAAGATCGTCGTCATCCTTTGTCGTCACCGACAAAAATAATAAGTACTTTTCAATTCTTTTTCTTCCTTTCTCCAACATAATTATCAGTTTAATGACCGCTCGTGATAATTGCCTTTTGACGTTCACCTCGATTGCGAAATTTCTGGTCAGTTAAATTCAGCTGGTTAGCTAATTATTATTATACTTATCGTTATCTACTTTATACCTATATTTATCTTCTCGTTATATCTAAGGTCTAATCTTAATGAATACAAAATTTCTCTCGATATGTTGCCTTTTATTCAAAGAGTAGGAAGCACGATACGTGCAACGAACGACGACGAACCGTAATAATAATCTTTAGAATACAGGACTGCTACGTGAAATCGTACGATACGTGAGAATAAAATGAAATTGAAGTATAGGCGAAGTATGAAGAGAAAGATAAAAGAAGGAAATAAAGAAAGAAAGAAAGAAAGAAAGAAAAAGAGAGAGAGAGAGAAAAAAGAGAGAGAAAGAGAGAGAAAGAGACACACACAACAGAACACATAACTTATTATTGTTCACGTTATTTCAATGGGGAAGGATAAACCAGAAAAAAAAGTCGAATCGTCCGATCGTATTATTATTATTATTAACGTTATTATTATTATTGTTATCGTTATTATTATTATTATTATTATTATTGTTATTATTATTATTATTTTCTCAAAGTACTTTTTGAAGGATAGTTTGATTTTAATTAAGACTAAAACGACAGAATGAGAGCACATAATATACTATGTATACGTATAATACAATGATCTATGTATGCATATATATATATATATATATATATATATATATATATATGTATGTAAGATACGTAATATACGTAGGACTTGGAGAGCAAAGCCGAATGAAAGGACTCCTGGTCCTTCTATATGTTCTCCCGTTCTTGACAGGAAGGTCGCATGATATCCCCTGGAATATCAGGTGGGCGCGTCCCTTTGTGCGTGAGAGAGAGAGAGCTAGCATCGCGTTCGCCAACACACACCATAACCAGAACCTTAGCCACCACCCAAAGGAAACACCCTCGAGAACTTACCCTCTGCTGCGCTAGTAGACCAATCTGCATTTCTACGAACGTCATTCTCTCTCTGTCTTTCTCTCTCTCTCTCTCTCTCTATCTATCTATCTATCTATCTATCTATCTATCTATCTATCTATCTATCTACCTATCTCTGTTTATCTTACGTGTATTTCCGATATCAGATATCAACCGAGATTTCCAAATATTACAAATTATTGTATGGTCTATGACAAATCTGCGAAATTTATGAGTGACATATATGTAGATATTGTAATAATTTATTTTATATCGAAATAATTTTACATTATCGAGAACCAATCGAAATCAATTAAGATATGTGAATCTCAATTGGGAATAAAAATTAAAAATCGTTTTTAGGTAGGGAAACAATAGTTTGAAATGTATTATATGACTGACAAGAGATTGAATACATTTATAGAAGGGTGTTTTTAATGGTTCCTCGATTAAGAAGATATAGTATCTGTTCGAAACGATCAAGTGATTGATTAAGCTTGTGATATGTTATTACATATATATATATATATATATATATATATGGATGTATGTATGTCAGAATTTGACAGTGCACGCGATCATTTATTATAATTGAATATAATGACGGATATAGATTAAATTACATACATCTTTTATATATTTTTTTTATAAATATCTATATATGTCTATTAACTGTTATATACAATATTATTATATATATAATGTAATATTCATTGCAATTTGATATTGTAGACATATTATGTATACATATAGTATATTATATATATATATATATATATATATATATACATTTATGTCAAATTATTATATATTTCTTATAGTATACTTTTTTCTTTAATATGAATCCAATGAGATAAATAAAAAAAAAAAAAAGAAAAAGGAACAAAAAAGAAAGAAGAGAAAAAAAATGCACGTTGACACAATAAAGTTGACGATATTATCATCGATAAAAATTCATTAATATGATAATTTGTCTGTAGAGATATTAAAATCTGTCCATTTTGTTTTCTTTTTCAGACGAGAGCGCACCTCGACGTCTTAGCGGACGCCATATTGCGATGGGCAAGAGGACGTTAATTGCTTTTCATTATAAACGATGAATCTTCATCGCGTATATAATGCCTCATCGATGTAATTTTTCTCTACTGCGTTAATGCATTCCCCGAAAACAGATTACTTACTTCTATCTCTCTTTTTCTCTCTCTCTCTCTCTTTATCTATCTATCTATCTATCACTCTCGTTCTTTACTTTCTATATTTTTCTTACATTTTTTCTCTCTATCTTTCTTTTTCTCTATCATTTGTCTTTTCCTTTTATCTGTCAGTATCTTCTTCCATCTGTCTTTCACGTTCTCTCTCTCTCTCTCTCTCTCGCTCTCTTTTTCTATCTATCTCTCTGTCACTTTCTCTCTCTCTCTCTCTCTCTCTCTCGCTCTCTATTCCTCTTTCTTTCTTTCTTTCTCTATTTCATTTTATTTCCATCGCACTTCTCCTCCTCTTCGTTGACACACGTAAAAACAAAACTACAGTAAAATCAAAACTCAGGGAAACGTGAAAATGTACTATCCCGCGAATATACTCGAATATATAAAAAAAAAAAAATGCGACATTAATCCGTCGTGAAATTGATCTGTGAAAAAAAAAAAGAGAAAGAAAGAAATATAGACAGATAGAAAGAAAGAAAAAAGGAAGGAAGAAAGAAAGAAAGAAAGAAAGAAAGAAAGAAAGAAAGAAAGGAAGGAAGTAAGAAAGAAAGAAAAAAAAAACCATAAACAAATTTACACAAAATACATATCTGCATATATAATAGAATGTTGGAAAAAGAATTCAAGACTTAGAAGAGATACATATATATATGGTGCTTATTAAGCTGAGTACAAAATTCTTCATTTAAATGTGACTCGCGAAAAAAAAAAAAAAAAGGAAAGAGAAGAAAAAAAAGAAAAAGGGGAAAAGAAGAGAGGAAAAAAATTGACCTTGACACAGGGAGACCTTATAAATAATTTCCAGTTTAGATAATCATAACGATTTAATTGCTTCTGTTAGTCGTATGCGCGCCATCTGTATATATATTTACTAAAGCTACATCTCTTGCTTCCATTATCTACTAAACAAGCTTCCATATGTTGATACCCAAAGAAATGTGGTATTCTCTCTTTCAAATTATTCTTGCATTATAAATTCATTTAGATATGTCTAATAATAAAACAGAAAATATAATAGTATAGAGGAAAATTTAAATTCTTCCTCTATCTATCTTTCATTGATTAATCTAATTTCAAAATGATTATAAAATGAGACGGAGCTCTTTATCGTGCATAAATCAAATCCTTTACCTTCGATCTAAAGAGATCTAGGGAGATATTTTTTTTTAAATATTGATATTACTCAACTCAATCCTTCATTTCCAGGCTGCATAGAAAAGTAAAAAGAGAGTATGCTTGTGGGCAGAAAGAGAGAGAGAAAAAAAGAAAGAGAGAGAGAGAGAGAGAAAGAGACAGAGAGAGAGAGACAGAGAGAGAGAGAGAGAGAGAGAGAGAATCACTTATAATAGAAAAATTATTAAAAGTCATTTATAATTTAATATCAGGATCAATTTTTCATTACACATTGACTAAACTCTTTTTTTTCTTTTTTACTCAGCTCAACTAGTACTATAAATACATGCCCTCTAAATCATGAATCCTTTTTTCTTTTTTTTTTTTTTTTTTTTTGTTTGTCTAACACTCTGTATACGGGGAAATACTATTATCGTAAAATAGCTGTAAATTAACTTCAGATTATATTCTGTCGAAGCAACACGGTCTATCGTCAAAACTATAAAGTAACGAAGATCTCCTCGTGTTAAAAAAAAAAAAAAAAAAAAAAAAGAAAAAAAAAGAAAAAAAAAGAAAAAAAAAAAGAAAGAAAAAAGGAAAAAAGAAAAAGAAAAAAGGCAAAAAAAATAAGATAAAAAAGGGTGGAATTAAAAATGAATGAAAAAAAATTACACATACATACACACACAGACAGATCTATATACATAAAAGCAAAGTAAAAAAAAAAAAAAAAAAAAAAGAAAAAAAAAGAAAAAAAAAGAAAAAAAAAAGATAAGAAAAAAGTACAAATTGAGATGCACGGACTTCTTAGGGTGTTACGAATTTAATTGGTAAGACTTTGACTTATAAAATCTCTCGAATTTTCTCGTAATAAACGCCATACTGTACGTACGGTACACGATATTTTTTAGGAAAGAGCAAGCAAGCAAGCAAACAAAAAAGGAAAAAAAAGGAAAGAAAGAAAATGGTGTTAAAGAAAAAGACTGGGAAAAGTGCGGGAGAGAGTAGAAAAATAGAAAAGGAAGGATAATATATAAATCGAATAAATTAATGTTTTCATTTATAAGAGAAGTGCCAAGGCGATCCGCGATATCGACGGAACAGTTAAAAGCAACAGGAACGAACGCGATAACGTATTGCAATTTTCTAACGAGCTGTTTCTACGCGTATGCACGTACATAAAAGACAAATATACACATACATACATACATACATACATACATACATACATACATACATACATAGATACATATATACGTACGTATGTACGTACATATATACATACATATATACATACATTTGTGTATAATAGTATACACAAAAAAAAAAAAAAAAAACAGTATACAGACAGTAGATAGACAGATTATGGGTATGGACATGTATGTGAACTCGCGGAATGTCCTCGAACTTGTGCTTGTATTCACACCGTGTTGCATTTTTATCGGACGGCGAATTTGTTCTCTGTTAAAAATGACGTAGATAAGGTGATTGACGACTACGCGAGAGATAAACTGGCCGAATAATAATATAATCTCTTCTCTTTTTATCTTTCAATCCATTTATATCTTTATTATCTAACAACATTAGTTACTTCTTCTTCTTCTACTTCTACTTCTACTTCTGCTTCTACTTCTTCGTTTTCTACTTCTTCTATTCTTTTTTTCTCTTTTATCTTTTTCATTTTCTTTATTGTCTTCATTATCATCATCGTCATCATCATCATCATCTTCTTCTTCTTCTACTTCTTCTTCTTTTTCTTCTTCTTCTGCTTCTTTTTCTTCTTCTTCATTTTCTTTATTGTCTTCATTATCATCATCGTCATCATCATCATCTTCTTCTTTTTCTTCTTCTTCTTCTTCTTCTTCTTTTTCTTCTTCTCTTTCTTCTTCTTCTTCTTCTTCTTATTATTCTTCTTCTTCTCGCATATCGGATATTTCACCAAGGAGCAATGTTTTCGAACAAACTCAAGAAATGATATACACACAGATTCTTCCCTATAAATATCACCTGCAATAAATTCAAACTTAGTGACATAGCCTATCATTTGATGGAAACTAATGTTTATACAAATATATTATATAGTTAATATCATATATTATGCAGGTACGTGTTATTCGAGAATTATAGCATTTTGATTTTTCTCTTTTTCCTTGTTATTTTTTCTACTTTTTCTTTTCTTTTTCATATTTTTTTTCTTTCTTTCGATATGAGAACATATTTATGGAAAATATATTTTGTCAAAAGTTATGATTATACTTTGGATTTTGAAGAGTTTTATCACGATGTATATAAGCTTAGAAAATTTCATAGAGACATTGAACACATTCTTTTTTCTTTGTTCTTTCTTTCTTTCTTTTTTTCTTTTTTTTCTTTTTTTTTTTTTTTTTCTTTGTGTCACCTAAGTACTTTAATGTTTCCTGTTAGTAATATTTTTTTGTCTTGTTATCGCTCAACAAACTTGAAAATTTATAGATGTGTTGTCGTTCATTTAAAAAAAAGAAAAGAAAAAAAGGAAAAAAAAGAGAGAGAGAGAAAAAAGAAAAAAGCAAGAAAAAGGAAAAAAAAATTGGAAACGCCAAAAGTAATACGAGAGAGAAAAAACCTCTTCAAAATTATTTTCCAATACCGCTTAGAAAGATGTCTCATATATATATATATATATATATATATATAATTTAAATAGCGCAATAAAAGGATATGACTGATTAGAAAAAAATCATAATAACAGGTATATTTCTTTCTTTCTATTTCTTTCTTTTACTTTCGTAACTTAAATCGCTCCATATGAAATCCGATAAAAGTAGAAAAATGAAGAATGAAAGGAAGAATAGTTCCGAAATCAAAGAAAGACACACAAAACATAGACGGAAAGAGACGCACAGACGAAAATACACAAATACGAACAGAAGCACATGTCCCAACATAAAAAAAGAAAGAAAGACATGCTTCCAAAAGAGACATACACGCAAAGATAAATATACATCTTATATCTCACATTTTATCTTATCATTTGTGTCTAACACACACATACACACACACACCCACACACACGTACACGTATACAGAGACAAACGAGCTTCAGGGATATACTCTGTCGTTCTCATTCGCAGGTAATATTCTCTTTACCTAGACGTACGTACCTACGCGCTCGTTTAAATAAATTTCGTGTTCGTCGAAGACCTCGGAAAAGAAAGGTCATCGACCTTGAAGCGAAACGTCGTTCTTCTCTCTCTCTCTCTCTCTCTCTCTCTCTCTCTCTCTCTCTCTCTGTATTTATCTATCTATCTATCTATCTATCTATCTATCTATCTATCTAAGTATCTATCTATCTATCTATCTATCTATCTATCTATCTGTCTTTCTATCTCTCTATCTCTCTATCTCCCTATTTGACGATATGCATGGAGGCGTGAACGCAGCGTAATACAATCAATGTGTACTCATACGTACATACATAACACGCATAAATACATACATGCATGCATACATACATACATTGCATACATACAAAGATACATATACATACATACATACATGAGAAAAAAAGTATTACCGATGGAAATGGAAGTAGTAGTAATGCAAAACAGAGCATTTCTTTATCGATAAGCGTACGCGCATACATACACATATCTACGAATTTTAATATGTATTACGGACTCTCTTTCCTCGACGGCTGTTTAACAACACGTTTCTTCGAAGAACGCGCGATTAATAATTGCTTCAAGTGCCATATATTTATATATATATATATACATATTTATTATATATACATATATATATATATGTATTATTTATATATGTATGTATATCATGTCTTTCTCTTTCTCTGCATCTACGTATATATATATATATATATAATTATATATATTTATATACATATTTGCGTGTGTATATATTTAGTTGTCACTTCGCAAAAAATAAAGATTTTCGATTTTCGCCGAAGGAACGTCAGGACAATTTTGAAATATGAAAGAGAAAAAGGAATTTTGCTCGGTTGAAACGAGAGGATTTGAAGTGAAATAAAAGAAAAGGAAAAACAAAAAAATAATAAGCCATTATTATAAGGCGCTTTTAGCTTTTGTATTTCTAAAAAAAAAAAAAAAAGAAAAAGCTGGAGAAAAAAAAAGAAAAAAAAATGAAAAAAAAACAACGTACGCGCTGCGTATAAATACATTCGCGCATGTTTGTATTTACGCAATATTCGTATCTAATTCCTTGTGGATCTGATATTGTCTTTTTACTTTTTTCTATATCTTCCTTTTTTTTTTCTTTTTTTTTTTTTTTTTTTTTTTTTTTAGTTTCTTTTCTTCGATAAAGCGCGCGTATATACGTATTATGCGCGTACACACATGTACCTATATATATATATATATATATATATGTATATATGTATATATATATAGATGTGTGCGCTAATACGTCTTAATAAAAACGTGCGAATAATGGAGAGAAGGGCGTTATACTATGCATGATATCACGTGGCACGTTATCATCATCGTATAAAATTACAATTGAACAATTCTCTTCGTCATATTACAAGATGGCAAGAAAAAGCGGAAATGCAAGAAAAGAAAAAAAAAAAACAAAAAAGAAAAGAGAAAAAAAAAGAAAAAGAAAATGAAAATAAAAAATGAAAATAAAAAA